TGTGTGTGTGTGTGTGTGTGTGTGTGTGTGTGTGGCCAGAGGTCAAAGTCCAGTGTCTTTCTCTATCACTTTGCACCTTACTTTTTTGAGATCCAGTCTCTCACTGTATCAGGAGCTTGCCATTTGGGCTATACTGACTGGTCAGTGAACCACAGAAATCTGCCTAATTCCGCTTTCTCAGACTGTGATCGCAGACGTGACTGGCTATGCGCAGCTTTTACATGTGTGCTAGGAACTTGAACTCGGCTCCTTATGCTCACATAGCAGGCATTTGACCTCCCTTCTGCCCACTGCTGTGCAGCAGAAGCCTGGCCTTGGACTACTGATTCATTCGCCTCCACCTCAGAGTGCTAGAATTCCAGGTACGGACCACAAAGCCTCGCTCCCTCCTTCCTAGCTCCCTCTTTTCGTTTTTTTTTAGGGACAGATTGTCTCTGTAGGCCAGACCTCAAACTCATGAGCCTTCAGTTTCTGCCTCTCAAGGGCTGTGTGTCATGGCACCTGACTAAGGCAACAGCACATTCCTGTCCATTGCTCAATTTGGCAGCTTAGATGTAGGAGTGCAGCCTATGTGTCAGGTCCATCTTGTCCTGAGCTGTGTTCCGGAATGCTCGGAATCTGATTGTTCAGGCCTCACAATAATGGATTATAAGTCCTACAATTCCTGTGTTGACTTCCTTTCTGCTCAAAGTTCCTGCCCAACTCTGACTGACACTCTTAGTGCCCAGCTTATTCAGAGAGAAAGGATCTGAAAAGAGTGCCTTCAGCTGGCCCTGGCTTCTCTGCCCATGCCTCTTGCCATGTTTTTTTTTAGTTTTACTGGAAGAGGTGGAAGAGAATGGGAGTCCCAGTGAGTTACAAGAGAAGAGCATCTGAGGGGGAGAGGGTCCAGGAAGGAGCCTATGGGCTTGATCAGCCGAGTCCAGGATAGGACCAGATTGCAGAGCTAAACCAGAAGAAGGTGTGTCTGCAGGGTCAGCTCACACCAGGCCATTCAGGCATTTTGAGCATCATTAAGGAGTTTTGACCAATCCCTAGAACTAAGGGAAGCTGATGAAAGGTTTGTCATTTTGGTTGTAAGTAAGCCTCGACTCTAGTGACTGTGCCATCTCGCCGGTCACGATGAAAGGCGTTGCGGGATATTTGTACACTGTGTGGAGATGTATTGCTGTGATTGGTTTAATAAAGAGTTGAACAGTCACTAGCTAGGCAGGAGGTATAGGTGGGACTTCAGGGCAGAGAGAAAGCAGAGGAGGAATCTGGGTGCTCAGGAGAAGTGAGATGCACTGAGGGAGCAGGATGGGCAGTATGGAGATAAGATAAAAAGCCACAAGGCAAAATGTTTATTAATATAAATGGGTTAATTTAAGTTCTAAGAGCTAGTGGAACAAGCCTAAGCTAAGGCTGAGCTTTCATAATTAATAATAAGTCTCCATGTTGTTATTTGGGAGCTGGCTGGTGGGGCAGAGAAAAACTTCTTAGAGGAAAGCTTGAAAAAAATTGGAAGCCATTTAATAATTTTGATTTCAAGTCTGGCTTGGTAGCCCATGCCTAGAATATCAGTACTCAGGAGGCAGAAGCAGAAATAGTCAAGGCCACTCAAGCCCAGTCTGGTCTGGATAGTGAGTTCCAGGTCCCTACAGCTACATACCAAGATCTTATCTCAAACAAAACAAACCATCTAGATTTAGACCAGTGGTTCTCAACCTGTGGTTGCAACACTTTGGGGAAGAGTCACATATCAGAGACCCTGCATATCAGATATTTGCATTACAATTCATAATAGTAGCAAAAGTACAGTTGTGAAGTAGAAATGAAATAATTTTATGGCTTGGGGTAACTTCTAACGGGACACACCATTAGGAAGACTGAGAACCACTGATTAGACTAAACCCTTCTTGGCTGCAATATGGAAGATGATCTTCTGAGGCAGGTGGGGAGACCTGTGCTGCGTGGTTGGATCTGTCCACGTGGGAGGTGGGACACAGAAAAAACAGGGTGGGTGGTACATGGCAGAATATATATTAATATAAATAGGTTGATTTAAGTTGTGAGAGCTAGTTGAGACAAACAAGTTAAAGGCCGAGCTTTCATAATTAATAATCAGTCTCTGTGTTGGTATTTGGGAGCTAGCTGGAGGGACAGAGAAAGACTCTTTAAATATGACATGCGATGTGAAACTCAAATATCTAAACATAGGGCCCGAGAAAGCTAAGAAAAGTTCTGGACAAGGAGCCCAATGTGAGTCCCTAGTCCTGTAGTCTCTCAGGCCCGCTGATGCTCAGCAGACAGAGATGTGGCTTTTAGCCGCTGCCTGTGGGTCGAAGCCAGCATCTAGCACCATGAGCCAGCTGCACACACTAAGCCAAGCTGTGCGGAAGCTGACATGGCTGTGGTAGTATTGTGTTCCCCAAAATATTGTGTACCTTAATAAACTTACAAGCCACTAGTTAGGCAGTGATAGCACATGCCTTTAATCCTAGCATTCCAGAGATAGAAATCCCTCTGGATCTCTGTGAGTTCAAGGCCACATTGGAAAAAGCCAAGCATGGTGACACACGCCTTTAATCCCAGAAAGCCAGCCTTTAATCCCAGAGAGTGGTGGTAGAAAGCAGAAAGATATATAAGGCGTGAGGACCAGAAACTAGAAGCATTTGGCTGGTTAAGCTTTCAGGCTATGGAGCAACACAGTTCAGCTGAGATTCATTCTGGATAAGGACACAGAAGCTTCCAGTCTGAGGAAACAGGACCAGCTGAGGAATTGGCAAGGTGAGATAGCTGTGGCTTGTTCTGTCTCTCTGATCTACCAGCATGGACCCCAATAACTCGCCTCGGGTTTGATTTTATTAATAAGAACTTTTAAGATTCCTGCTACACATGGCAGTTTAAGATTTGTGTCATGTGGTCAGAGAATGTAGCAGACACTTAGTAAAGCCAGGTCCAGACACAGAAAACCTCTATAAAAATGTATGTTTGAAAAAAATATGCTTAGATGCCAAAGAAAGAAAAGAAAATGGGTACAGACAGTCATAGAAAAAATAGTTTAAAAATAATAAAGGCTTGAAAAAAATTTTTTATTCACTTAACATACCAACCACAGATCCCCCTCTCATTAAAAATAATGAAGTCTTTAAAAAGAGAGTAAAGCAATATAAAAAAAATAAACCATGTAAAGATGGGAAATACACAGAGTTTCTGGATGCTGTATGGTGTTTTGTTAACTTTGAATTTTTTAAATATGCTAATGTACAAAAAACAATAGCTGCTGAGAGACATTGGATTATGGAAACAGCTAAATTAAACCAACCTATATATTTTTAAAAATGTCTTAACTTCAGAATGGAAGTAAAAAAAATATGTTGTGTTGGGCAAGAGGTTATGCATTTGTTTCCAGAGGAAACAAAAAGTTATGGTTCTTTTAAAAATTAATACAGATCAAATTTAATTGAAGGATGCCTCCTAAAAGTCTTGGCTACCAACATTTAAAAAAAGAAACCAACATAGACTATAGGACAGGTGTAACTGAAAGTTTTCCTGTGTCCCACCTGGTCCGAAGCCACTCAGACCCAAGTAAACACACAGAGGCTTTTATTAATGAAAACTGCTCGGTCATTAGCTCAGGATTCCTACTGACTAGCTCTTACACTTAAACTCAGTTTATTTCTGTTAATCTATATGTTGCCACGTTTTCCGTGGCTTTACCTGTGTGCCATTACATGTTGCTCCCTGGACAGCAGGCTGATGTCTCCTGACTCAGCCTTCCTCTTCCCAGAATTCTCCTTGTCTGCTTATCCCACCTATACTTCCTGCCTGGCTACTGGCCAATGTAGCAGGAATCTTAAAAGTTCTTATTAATAAAATCAAATCCGAGGCCAGTTATTGTGCTGCTTCAAAGCCTGAAAGCTTAACTAGCTGAATGCTTAACCAGCCACATGTTTAACCAGCCAAATGCTTCCAGTTTCTGGTCGGTCCTCACGCCTTATATACCTTTCTGCTTTCTACCATCACTCCCTAGGATTAAAGGCTTGCTTTCTGGGATTAAAGGCGTGAGTCACCATGCCTGGCTGTTTCCAATGTGGCCTTGAACTCACAGAGATCCCACATGGATTTCTGTCTCTGGAATGCTAGGATTAAAGGCGTGTGCTATCACTGCCTAACTAGTGGCTTTTCTGTTCTCTGACCCCAGATAAGTTTATTAAGGTACACAATATTTTGGGGAACACAATACCACCACAGGCCAATCAGTGTTTTAATAAACCAGTGTACAAAAGCATTATCCCACAGCAGACAGGTGACATATGCTGATCCCTCTACTATAGGAACAGCTCTGAGACTGGATGAGACATGATAAATCTTGCTGGCTACAAGTTCTCATGACTTATTACTATGTTCCATCCTTTCATATGGTATGGATAGAGGTTTGGTTATACAATCCAAATGAACTTTTAAAGTTGACAGATATCTTTCACCTGTTCAAACATAAAACAAAAAAAATCATCTTTAACTAACTTGTGCGTGCTGAACATTCCATACTTGTGCTAATGCATTATATACATATGTTTATGTGTTTCCAGAAAAAAGGACCAGACACCAATAAAGACAAGTAGCCCAGGTGATTCAGCCTCTTACAATGCCTCTGTTGTAGTTTCCTCAAAATTCTACATCCAGAACAATTTCAAACTTGCTAGCTGTGATGGTCCAGCCGCACAGACTATCCATCTAAGACTTCAGATAAGCACTACACTTTCCCATCACACAGAGACTAAACAAAACAACAATACAGCTAGCTCTCCCAGGATTTGACCATTATCCCAATTTTCTCAGGGTCCCCAAAAGAT